CATGAGAAGCATTTTCTAGTCGTGTTTTGCAATTTGTCATGCTCCAATCAGCATGGTGTGCTAGATCTGTGATGCTGCTAAGCTAGCTCAAACAGCACTACACTACGAATCCAAATTTGTCATGCAAAACAGCCAAAACTTGTGGATTTGTCTAGCCGATTTCCCATCTTGACTATGGTGTGGGTACGTTTTTACTCAGGATATCAGGGGCTCTTTCTCTAGCGTGTCGTAGAGAAATTTCAGCTATGGATTGTAAAAATATCTGGGTCTGGAAGATTCTGACACTTGTCATGCAGATTTTCCATGATCCATGTCATCTGGAGTGCAGGACCTAGCATGACAGATTCTGCGGGATCCCTATCGCTATCATGCCTATCCTGCATGAGAAACTTCCTCTCAACTTAGTGGGCAACTTTTGGCATTCATGCAACACAGATTTTTGCATCATCCAGAATTAGCATCACAAGCTCCAACCTTCCAGACCCAGACATTTTTACATTTGATATCAACATGTGCGGGTTCATGTGCCCATCCTTGGATAGGGAGTGTGTGTATTTTTCCTCGATTTTCTGCGCGTTGGTTTTTGGCGGATCTTCTGCTTCCGTAGATTCGGCCGTGTCGATGTTGCACATAAACACGGCTTCGTATTCCCTGTTTGTCATATTTTCACAATAGGCGTGGGCCTGCGGGCCTAAATTCCGGTGGGTTGGTCGGTTGGTTGGTTGGTTTTGGACAGACGACATTTGACCCACCGAACCCGCTACATTGTGTTTTGTGTTTTTCTGAGATTCATCCACTATTACTGCCGCAGCTGCCTACCTACCCACCTACCAGGCGTCTTTTCGATTCATTGCAATACCATGATCGCACCGGCCCACCTACCTACCTATGCGTGCCTTTCCACCCAGAGCCGGCTGCCTACTGGTCACGCCTACCGACCTACCCACCCACCTGGTGGGTAGGTGGGGCGAGGGAGCGCGCGCTGCTTATTGGCCACGCCTACCGACCTACCGGCCCACCAGCCTGGTGGATGGGTGGGGCGAGGGAGCGCGCGCTGCCTATTGGCCACGCCCACCGACCTACCCACCCACCAGCCTGGTGGGTGGGTGCGGCGAGCGTGCGCTGCCTATTGGCCACGCCCACCGACCTACCCACCCACCTCGCTGGTGGGTGGGCGGGGCGAGCGTGCGCTGTCCCTTGGCCACGCCTACCGACCTACCCACCCACGGGCCTAGTGGGCGGGTGGGGCGAGCGTGCGCTGCCTATTGACCACGCCTACCGACCTACCCACCCACCTCGCTGGTGGGTGGGTGGGGTGAGCGTGCGTTGCCTCTTGGCCACGCCTACCGACCTACCCGCCCACCTGCCTGGTGGGTGGGTGGAGCAAGCCTCCGCTGCCTATTGGCCACGCCTGCCGAGCGACCGGCCCACCCACCAGGCAGGTGGGGGTCTGAGACGAGCGCGCGCCGCCTATTGGCCACGCCTACCGACCTTTCCACCCACCAGCCTGGTGGGCGGGTGGGGCGAGGGAGCGCGCGCTGCCTCTTGGCCACGCTTACCGACCTACCCACCCACCAGCCTGGTGGGTGGGTGCGGCGAGGGAGCGCGCGCTGCCTATTGGCCACGCCCACCGACCTACCCACCCACCTCGCTGGTGGGTGGGTGGCACGAGCGTGCGCTGCCCCTTGGCCACGCCTACCGACCTACCCACCCACCAGCCTGGTGGGCGGGTGGGGCGATAGATATTTTTGACCCTTCTAAAAAGCCCCAACCGGCGCGAGGCTGGCTTCCTGATTAGGCTTTGCAGGTGTGTGGGCTTTGTTTGGGTTTCTTGATCATTCAGCGCAGATTAATCGCCCGACCCAATATTTGTTAGCCAGCGGCCCGGATTTCTGCCTGGAGCCCCGAAATCATACAACCGATTCGGGAAAACATGTTGAAGGCAGGCAAGAAGTGGAACTTTCATTCTTTGGCTGCCTTCAAGAGAAGCCGGGCGGGAGAGCAGCTGCATGCTCAGGGGCCCAATTTATTATCGAGGGGTTTGCAAGCAAGGGGCTCGCGCAGCCAAGGGGTTGCGCAAAAAGCCCCCGCCCGCCCGGCATGACCAAGCGGGGGCTGATCCAAATTTTGCGCGAGTTTGTCTCTATTTCCCAAGTGTGTTTTGCTTGGGTTGAGGAAGCGCAGGTCTTGGCTGGAGAAAAGTGCAGCACTGGAGCCCCGACCTCTTTCTATCTCGCGCAAATCCTCACGAGGCCCCCCGGAGCTCCGATTGCGTCGACGCAGCACAGATTTGTGTCTGCGGCGAGCTGCGCGCAACACTGATTTGCGCTGCGCGCAACACAGATTTGCGTCCACGCAGCACAGATTTGTGTCTCCGGCGAGCTGCGCGCAACACAGATTTGCGCGCAACACGCAGCACAGATTTGTGCGCAGCACAGATTTGTGCTGCGCGCAGCGGAGATTAACTTGGTTCTGCGTTGTACATAACCGACCAACCCACCGGAGGAAGTTACGGACAACTGCCTGCAGCTGCAGGCCCATCCTGCGCCCGAACCCCGAAGCCGTGTTTCCATACATCGGAAATTCGCTCAAATGTCGTCTGTCCAAAACCAACCAACCAACCGACCAACCCACCGGAATTTAGGCCCGCAGGCTCACGCCTACTCTATTTTCACATCTTTTTGTTTCACACATTGAGCATGAGCTTCAGGTGGACCCGGCCAACTCAAAAAGTTGATCTTGATTTAGACTTTGCAAAAAGCACCATCACGATACAGGAAGATGCTTGCCGTCTGTTACAACCGATGATAATTCAGGAGCCACACCTACAAGAAACGTTATACGGTTTTCATAATATACCCTTGATCCCCTCCTTCGAGCCATTCTTTCCTCGCTACCTCCGCCTTTTCTTCCCTTTCCGCCGCGGGGACGCCCGCCAGTTTCGCCCATTTCTTCATGACAATCGCTTCCAAGTCAAACTCAGTGGTGTCGTTTCCGACCTGCAGATCTCCGTCGGCGAATATTTCTAACCGCCATTTGTACGGCTCTGGCTTCTCAGCTGCTCCTTCCTCCTCTTCCGCTGGCTCCTCTCCATTCGCCTCAGAGGCGACTATTTCCGCATTGTTCACCGGCACCTCCGTTCTCTCCACGCACCGGCTGCTGTCTAGTTCGATCTGCAGGATGTAGGTCGCGTTGCCCTGGAGCTCCAGGTGCGGGAAGGATATCCTGAGTAAAAACGTTCCCACCCCAGAGTTGTCGTGCAATTCTGCATGCCAAAAAAGTTTCTCATGCGGAGCCCTATGAGAAGCATTTCGTTTTGCGTGTTTTGGGATTTGTGATGCGAGGATCGGCATGCTATGCTAGATCTGTGATGATTCTGAGCGAGCTAAACAGGACCACACTACGAGGACAAACTTATCATGCCAAACAACCAAAGCTGTGTGATTTGTCTAGCAGATTTCCCGTCTTGACTCTGGTGTGGGGACGTTTTCAATCAGGATAAAAGAAACCGCGTCCTTGCCCTCCATCGTGCACATGGTTTCCAGACTGGACAGCCAATTTTTCCTCCCGCCGAATTCCTCCGGATCTACGTTAACATTCGATTCCAGCGCCGGCAATTCCTCTTCCTCCGTAACTTCCTCCCCCGACTGCCATCTGTCCTTCATCGCCGGCCGAAACTCCTCCTTTGGCGGGTGCTGCAACACCAATTTCGCGATAAAAAAAACGTCGGGAAAGTTGCAGGTTACCCGCATGGACGCGGAGACCACCGCTGGCTCCTCTTCCGAAACCGGCTCGGCTGCCACCGTGATTCGTTCCCGGAGAATCAACGGATCGAAGGTTTTCAGGTCCGACAAAGCCACTTCGTACAACTTTCTGTTGGAAAACCCGATTTTTTTCGCGTCGTAACTCTCGCTGAAGGGTTCCAGCGCGATCGCGGGTGTTGGTTCGGTGAGTTGCTCAAACAAGTGCACGTAGTACACCGGTTCGATAACGGGTTTCGACATGTTTCCCTCCAACAAAAGCAAAAACGTGTCCTCCCCCTCCGGTAAGTCGAACTGAAACAAGGGCAGGAACGGCGTTTCAAACACGATTTCTGACCAAACCGGGAAAACAAGTTGCTCTCCGGAAACTGCTCTTCGCCGCACCAACAGCCGCAGCCGGAGGTGCTGGCGGCACTCCGGGTCGCCGGCGAAGTGCGTGTAGGCGGTCACGGTGCGTTTCGCCGTGTTATGCATCACAAAAGCATCGCACTAGTACAAAACGCATGACAAATTTTTTCTAGAGGAAAAATGAAATTTGTCATGCAGAACAAGCTAAAAAAGCAGATCTGTCATGAACGACCTGCATTTATACGAGTACGATACTTTTGCACAGGATACGTGTCGGGGAGGCGGGATTTAAATTCGCACTTCGCCCACAGGCTGTACCCGGCTGGGTAGGTGACCGGGGGGTCTTCGCAGTCCGGTGCTCTTCCGATCTTCAGAACCGGGATGTGTGCTCGTTGCTCCAGGTAGTCCGCGGGCTCGACGAATGTCGCCCTGGCTTCGTAGTTCATCAGCGTCGTAGTTTCGGCTCCTGATACAGAACTAGGCACGCTGCACTTTTTCAGCAACACCTGGTGTTTCGCTCCCGATTTTGTCGGATCCTCGATCAGCAAGAAGCAGTGCTCATATCAAATGCAAGTCGTTCTGGGTCCGGAAAGTTGTGATGCAAATCTGTGAATGGTGGGCGCACTGCGATATGCCGCCAAGCATGACAATTTTTTGAGCGGTTTTTTATGTGTTTCGTTTACTGCATGGCAAACTGCGTTTTTGCATGACAGGCAAGAGGGCCTTGTCCTGCTCATGCATCACAGATCTAAGAGTCATGCCAGACAAGCATGACAAACGAAACCTGCATTCTTGCAGACCCAGACATATTTGCGAAGCATAGCTCCGACCCGTTTGCGACCACCGGCACGTCGAAACACCCCTGCACCCTTGGCGCGTTCGGACCCGTCACGTGTGTGCAGGTGGCAGACAGCGCCAGCGGGTTGTAGTCGAAGTAGCAGAACGGGTCCGGCGCGTCCGGATCGCTCTCTGCTGCACCAGCACTCCCAGCCGCGGCCTTCTTCGCGTAACAAAGGTGATTTGCGAGCTTCTGGAAACCGGTCGTGAACGGGTTTGATATTTTTCCACCCGAGGACCCTGTGCTCGTAGTGTTCGGGTAGCTGTTGAACTTCCAGTTGTTCGCGCGGAAAAAGTAGCTCCCCGCATGTACTGATGGGTCCATCGGCTCCACCGCGAGCACGACTTGGCAGGTCGGAATGGCCGTGCTACTTGTCGACCCGCCCTGTTGTTCCTGTTGGGAAGTTGTTGTACCAGACCCCGCGGCTGCGTCTTTTTCTTTTTTTCCCGACGATTTCGACGACGCCTTGGTTGGCGCCGCCGTTTCCGCGGGGTCCGCCGGACTAGCTCCTTCGTCGGGTAGTCCTTCTTCCCCCTCCTCAGGCGTGCCGTCGGGCTGCGTGGCAGACCAGAGCAGCAGCGTGGAGTCGGTGATTTTTTCCGAGGATGAGGAAGTATCGGTGGGTCTCCTGTGTAAAGGCATCCCCACCCCAGAGTTATCATGCAGATCTGCAAGCACAAGAGCATTTGTAATGCGCATCCTCACAAGAGGCATTTCCCATTGTATTTTGGAACTTGTAATGCTGTAAACAGGATGAGGAGATGGATTTGTTATGCGGCTTCCCTTACTAAACTGCAATACACTACAGCCTGCAACTTGTCATGCGTGGCTCCCAAAACCTCGAGAAATGTGTTGCAAAATCCCCATCTTGACTCTGGGGTGGGGACGTTTTTACAAATGATAGTGGGCGAAGTTGTTGCACTCGCTGTTTGTCCTGGTCCACCTTTGCTCGGCCGGACGCGGACGGTGAGGAGCATGGGCTTTGTGGGCAGCATATCGCGAGGAAAAATAATCCCACCTCCCCTTACTGAAAAGATATCTTTTGTGATGCTGATTTGTACTCACAAATCGTTTCTGTCTTGCAAGAAGGCAATCCGAGAAGGCCCCCCGCATTGTGCCAGCGGTTTGTGATGCTGTTAGGCCTACAGCATGGACTTTTGTCATGCTGGGCGCCTATGTCACAAAACCTCTCCAGTCAGGCTCGATATGGGCCTGCAGTCCTCTTCTACTGCAAGACGAGGCTGATTTATGTACGCAAATCCAGCATCAGAAATTTCGTTCTGATATGGGAAGGGGGGTCTTTTCCTTTTGATACAGCATGACTTTCGAACTCTCCGCGTCTTCCACCGGGACCGAGTCGTGCTTATGCATTGCAAGAGACTCGTACTAGTAAAATAACTTAAACTAGTAGAAATCGCTAGCGCATGACAAATTTCAATTTCTTCTGCATGATAAATCGAATTTGTAATGCGGATTTCCCTTAATGCGAACATTTGTAATGCATGACTGCAATCTTTAGTACAAGTACGATCACTCTTGCAATCCATAGTGCTCCACACAGGTGAATTTGTCCGCGGACTCGTAAAAGGAGAAGTGGGTGGCCAGGTCCACCACGTCCGTCCAGTTGATCCAGTATCAACTGCAAATGTGTGAGACTTGTAATGCTGTCTGCGGAGTCTAAAAATATCTGTGCTGTATGAGCAGCAAGAGGAGTCAGCTCTTGGCACGTCGCGGAGAGGGCATTTGTCATGCGTAATTAGCATCAAGACGTTCTGAAAGAATCTGTGACGCTAGCACCAGAATCACAAACCTGACGGGTCATGCAAAATGTGCATGACAAGCCCAAACTCTACTTCAAGGAGACCCAGACATATTTGCACTTCATATCCAGTAGCCGCCGTCGATATTCCGTATCCTATTTAAAAACGTCCTCACCCCATAGTTGTAATGCAAATCTGCATGCTGAAAATGTT